GAAAGTTTTTAAGTTTATTAATATTTCAATAACAATCGCATTTCGTGAAGGAAAAAAGGAGTATTTTTCATTCCACTCATTTACAAACGAATACAAATTTAAAATTCAACACCGACAGCAAATTGTTAAAAAAAGAAAAACTAAAAACCAAAACATAATATAATGTGAGTAATAATATAATATAATATGATAAATATAAATATTATAATATGAGTGCAAATATTTATTTATACTGTAAAAATTATATTGGTTTTCTGCTTTCGTGGACGGACGAAAATCGTAAATTTATGTGGGCGTCGGGTTTTAAAGTGAATTATTACACAAATATCGTCGGTCGTATGAGAAATTTATAGATCCGATATCTCACGGTAGAGTAGTATATATAATCACAACAGGTGAAGGCCATGAGAACATTTTAAACGCCGTTTCGAGTGTTTTTGCTCGGACCGTTGTTGTCCAAAGGCCAAATCAAATGCAATGCGAAATGATTAAAAAAAATTCAGGAGAACAAGGAATTTTGTCTTGTTCGTGTAAGGCAAAAATTTCTTGCCAATCAAGTAGGTGTGCATGTTTTAGAAATAATATGCTAGGTATGTAACAGTCGATGTCATTCAACCGTCATGTAAAAACAAATAAATGTTAAAATCAATAAATTAATTATTTTGTTAAAATATAACTGTTTATATAATAAAATAAAATATACGATAGTTTAGGAAAAAAAAATAAAAAATAATGTAATGTAATATGATATAATTGTTATTTTATTGTTCATAAAACAATATAGAAGAGTAGTTATAATACTATGATATAATATAATTATTTATTGAAACGGTCATCTGTTTCATGAAATGGATGTCCATAAATGTATTTTCGTCGAAATTCATCATCAGGACGAGTTTTACTATCTGAATATCCAGTTCATGAAATGAATGATTTCACTATGTGGATGCGACATATACATACGTATATGTACTCTATATGGGAAAAAGTGTAATAGAAACGAAATATCATCCAGGAAATGAGTTCCTGGAATCAATTTACCGTGGGATTTAATTTCCAGGGTCAGGTAAGAAGCTACAATCTACACCGAGTACTCCACAGATAAAATAGCTTGTGAATACATGAATACGTAATGTGTATAGCGCATAGGTATGGCATGACAGGTCCGTTCCTAGTAGGAATGAATTAAAGTCTCGGGCATGTATGACATACGGGTGTATATTTGAATAAGATAATTCAAGGGGTCGCGTTATGTAATGATGATTATGTATGTAAATTGATCACTCACTATGTGCCCACTGCAATTACAATATTAATTCTGAGTTAATGTAATTCAATATGTAATATGATGATTGTGGTTTTGAATCGTTTAAAGTAATATCGATGATTACTGTAATGCGCTAGCAATCGTTAAAACGTATATCTGTTGCTATGAAACACAGCCGTAATACATTTTTTTAAGCGATAGCAGTGTATACGTAGTGGTGTATTGTTTTTCACGAAAATTATAGCTTAAAAAATTACTAATTCATAACCGTCTTTGCATAATTCACTTGTTCCAACATTCATGATGAAAACTATGTTAAAAATATATTAAACAAGACTTTTTTGCATATCGAAGGGTAACAAACGTACTGTTTCACGTATTGTTTTTTTTTTTTTAAATTTTTTATTTATAGTTGTGCATTTTGTATAATACACGTGCTATTTTTGTACACCTACATTTTAAAGTTTGTGGACTTCAACCATTCCATATAATTTTTCATTGCACGCACAAAGAATTAAGAATATCCCACACTAATTTAAACGCATTGTACATAAACAAAATGTTTACGTTTTCAATGTATTAATATTTTTCAATGAACAAAACAATTAAAGAAAAATACTCAAATTCTAAACTCGTTTCACTTGCTTTCTTATACACAGTATTGTAGTGTGATAACTTGAAGAGTTGAATATAGCTGTAATGAATCATTGGGTTGAAAGAAAAAAAAAATAGAAAAAGAAAGCGCGTATTTATTCAGAGCGTAGCTCAGCTTACATTAATGATTGTATTATATGATATTATATTAGATTTCGAAAACTACGGGGAATTTATAAAAATATCTCTTTAAAATTATCATATGTGTCCGATTACCAATTAATAGGTATTTTTATACATGGTGATTTAAACCATTCCGTTTGGCTATTGAAATATTATACTGATTTAATAAAATACAATAAAATCATAATTACATGTATCAACAATATTCCTAACAAATATAAGTTATATTGGCATATTATGATAATACAAACCCAATCAACTACATTGATGTCAAATAATTAAATTAACAACGTTGAGTATATAATATAAAGATTTTTTTTTTTCTCAACAAAAAACTCAAAATATGTATTTTTTTTTTTATTAAATTTATATTTATTTTCTTCTTCTTCTTCTTCTTCTTTTGTTATTATAGGCCATTAAGACCCATCACTGCTCCACACAGCCTCCTCCATTCCTCTATATCATTCGCTATTATATTTATTTTACTCAATGTATAACAAAGAGTAAATATAATACATAAGCTATATAAATTATAAAATATTACTACAAATATAATTACAATATGATATAAAAAAATGTAAAATATACATTTTCGACAACTTTAAATCACTTATTAAATTTCTAATTATTATTTTTATTTTATTTTTTATTCAAAAACAAGTATACTTGTAGTTAAATTATATTTTAGAATAATTTAATTATTATATATTTTTATTAATTAAATTGATTCATTTCATTATAATAAACTATTTTAGTCTCAAAAAAGTTTATATTTCATAATAATATATATTTTTATTTTGATAGTTTATGTTTTCATATCTTATGTTTAATTGTTATTATTTAATTGTTGTAAGTAACTGATACATGTCATGTATTATGCCATATCAGTGCGTGGTATTTATACCATGGTCATTTTATACAAATTGATAAAATAATATTTTATCCAGGTATTCTGAATTCTTGATAACATTTTATACTTGTAGATTTTATTAAATAAAAACTACAAAAATTATAAATTTATCACAATTATTGAATAATCTTTAAACATTTAACTTGAGATGATATTTTTTTTTAATCAAGGGGAAATTTAAAACAAATTTAGTTATATTCATTCCTGGTTTTATTTTATAAATTCATATTTTTCAATGAATGATGGATAAAAAATGATAAATCTTCAATTTAAATGTTGTCGAGTTCAAGTACTACAAACCATTCATGGTAGATGATTTTGACTTTATATTCAATAAATAATAGTGATGGGCCGATAGAGAGAATGTGTGTGTGTGAGAGAGAGAGAGAGAGAAATAAAAAGAGTATGTAAAATACAGATAATAGTATATTCAACTTTATTATTCATTGCCTAACTCGTATTATTTGACGTTAAGTTTTATACAATAGCCGCAAAACAGTCATAATATTGTAATGAATAGATGAAGTGTGATAGAGTTCAGCAATCAGTTGTCATTTTAAGATCGTGTGATAGGTACCAAAACGTAACTAATAATATCGATAAGATTTAGTATTTATTAAAAAGTCTATTTTCATGGTTTATCGGGTGGTTACAGAAGACGTTCTCTGAACATACAAATATTAATTCTACATATTTAGTATTCTGATATGTTACGATAGAAAATTTATATTCTATGTACTCGTAATGAAATATAATGACGTTATAACCCGATGGGGTGTTATAATTTCCAGACCACTCTCCATATACACACCACTAATACTATAGCCGAATATACTTTATTTGCTTTTTAAACCCTTATAGCATAGGTTCCCAAAGTGAGCGCCGCGGCGCCCTAGTGCGGCGCAATATATGTATAAGGGCGCCGCGCCGTCATGAAATATTATCAGGTCTAACATTTTTCTTATGATTAGTCATGACTTAGAGAAGGGCGCCCTGAAAAAATCTTGGATCAAAAAGGGCGCCTTGAGTCGAAAAAGTTTGGGAAGCACTGCCTTATAGTAAATCTGAACAACAACTAACACACGCATAGCGTAACGAGATGCATGGATAGCAGGTAAACATCGAACAGCAAATTTGAAGGGTCCGTGGCACATCGGTGCTCGTTACGACGAACACAAAACGCGCTCCAGTGATTTCGAAAAACCACGTGTTAGCGAGCGGCAGAGGGAACTTACGATGAGTTGTGTGGTTTTATTATTAGATTCGGCGGTGGAGTGGCAAAAACATATTTTATCTCGTGGCAATGTACCGAAATGTACGTAATAGGAATAAATGAATCATACAGACGGAAAAAAAAAACAGTGCAATACCAGGGCCATATTTACGCACGGACAAAATAGACATTTGTCCTGGGCCTACGTGGCCAAAGGGCCCACTGATGACTAACTTTGTAATATATTATTTTGTCGAAATAAATTTTTTTTTTATTGTTTTTGTCTAAGACATAATAACAAGACAAATGACATAATAAAATATATACATAAAACAAAAATACAATGATAGTTTATATAATAGTGCAAGAATTAAGAAACCAGTAGTTTGTATTTTTTAGCTATAGACTATAAGCTTAGAAATATTCGTATGGTATTATTTATAAACTGAATAATAATACAACCTTTTTCCCGTAATATGATAACTATAGTCACACCATTTTATATTGTTTTGTGGTAAAAATAATAATAAATACACAGCTCGCATTATAGCCATGTGCGATAACGCCGATAACATTGTACATAATATATATATTTTTATTATGAGTACATTACTCGTAATTGGTGGTGGTCGACAAATAATACAAATGTACAGACGTACAGTTGCGATTTATGATTCCAACGAACGACATATTATATTATTTTATTTTGTATAAAATGTTACCAAAAAAATATCTAAGTAGCTCCGCCAAAAGAAAATTAAAAGAAAAAAAAGAAGAAGAAATTAAAAAGTTACGTGGAAATTTAAATAAATATGTTGTTAAAATTAATACAGAATCATCTCCATCACTTATTATTGATAATTCAGAAAGTAAGTAGTTCAAACTAATTTATAATAAAATATATTATTGTCCGAGAAAAAAAAACGAAATAATATAGCTACTAATAATAATAATATATATACTCTTATTTTATGTTTTTAAATAATACTCATTACTCAAGTATATATATGTAATATTTATATTTATTTTTTATTTTTTAGTCAATTCACAAAATTTAAATTCAGAAAATATTACTAACCAGGTTAAATCAAATGAACTAACGATTAATGAAGAATCTACGACTCAATCTATGGTAAGTTTATTTGAAAATGAACTTGAAAAACATGATCAAAATCCAATCGATAATAATTTAAATACAATTAATAACGATATAAAACAAATCAATTTTGAAAATTTCATTGACGATATTGCTTTATGGCCTTTATCCATAACGGACAATTTTTGGGAATACTTCACACTTCATCCTCCAAATCAAAATATTCAAGCTATAGACGAGTCCAAGAAATCGATAAGAGGTATTTCTCGTAAATTAAAAAAAACATAATTTTTATATAACAAAAATGAATGGTACCTCAGTTCCAAGAACTTGGTTAATATATTCTCCCTCGGGTGTCAGCGTATTCTGTTATATTTGTAAATTTTATGCTAAAACTTCAAAACATTTACTTTGCAAGGAAGGTTATAGTGATTGGCATCATATTACTGAACGGCTTATTGAACATGAGAATTCAACTACTCATAGAAATGTAATATGTGATTATTCCAATCGTTCTGTAGAATTAAAACGAATTGATTGCCAACTAGTAAAAGAATATAAAACAAAAGTTCAATATTGGAGAAATATTTTAAAACGTACTATAGCTGTAATTCAGTTTGGCCAAAGAGGTTTAGCTTTTTTTTGGGGATAATGAAATATTAGGTAATTCTCATAATGGTAATTTTTTAGGTATTATGGAATTAATAGCTAAATTTGACCCATTCCTTAAGGAACATTTAAATAATTATGGAAATAAAGTTAGTGGAAAATCTAATTATATTTCATCTCATATAATTCGTGAGCTTATATCACTGATGGCAGATAAAGTTTTAAATGTAATTGTAGAAGAAGTAAAAAATGCTAAATATTTTGGCCTTAGACTCAACGCCAGATGTGACACATATAGACCAACTAGCTATAGTTTTACGATATATATAGTGTATCGACTACCCCAACTGATATGTTTCGAGTTAAAATCGCCGCCAATGATAAAAGAGCTACCTAGCTTTTGAAAAAACGATTGTAGTTTAGGTTCTGAAATTTGCTGGTTTTGGTAGCTTACAAAATTGTTACGTTTGGGGGGAGGGAAATAGACGGATGATATAGTTATAGGAATACAGTTGTTGAAATTTATTGATATATTTACAGCTTGTAGATATGGTTTATTTATGATTTGGAGTTCGGTGTAAAGGGTTGAAGATTTGATTAAGATAGCTGCACCCGCGTGCGCTGTTCCGTCAGGATGATCTGCACAAATTATTTTATAACCGTTAATTTTAAAATTTGTATTTTTTGTCAGGTGGGTTTCGGAAATAAGAGCAAAATCAATGTTTTTGTTATGCAAAAAGTAGTATAGCTCGTTTGCATGTTTTTTTAATCCATTGGCATTCCAAAGAATTATCGATAAAGGAGGTGTGGCGTTAGAGTTAATTGACATTATTATTTTTGAGAAGAACTTGACGAATTACTTGAGTTAAAAGAGTTATAAGAGGGTTTATAATGGATTTTAAGTCGTTTATGAATGTATTCAATTGTGATGTTAGGTTATTTATAGACTTGGTACTTTGGTTTGGCGGGCATTGGTCATTTTTGTTAGAACTGGTTTTATTTTTTAGTACTTTGGAATACGATGATTCAATATTTACATTTGGACCTGTGTTATTGTTTATACTTGTGTTTGACAAGACGTGTTCATTTACATAGTATTTGTTGATTGAATTTGATATATTAGTTTGGCGATCCGGCTTGGTTCCCTGAGTTTGTAGGTTTTTGAAGACTTCACAGCCTCGGTAATTTGCGGGATGGTCCCCGCCACATAGTGTACATTTGGCCGGAAGATCTCTGTTTTTGGTACAAGATTCAGAGCTGTGTTGTTCGCTACAGCGTACGCAACGAGGCTTGCTGTTGCAGTAGTGACGTGTATGTCCGTAATTTTGACAATTCATACATTGCGGTAATTGTTTACGTGCTTTGGGTGCTTCAACTTTAACTTTGGTGTAACAAAGTGAGGTTAGCGAGAAAATGTCTTTATTATTTAGAGCGGGTTCGAGGTCGATAAAAAATAATGGTAAAGGAATTTTTGTTAGATTTTGCAAAACGTTTGTAATTTTACGTGCTAGATGACCGTTTTTTCCGAGTTCTTCTTTGATAAATTCGATTTTTGTTGATGGATGTAAGTTTCGGATCACTATGCGGTATGCTTTTTCGTCTTTCAGTTGATATGTATAAAAATCAACGTTGTATTCTTTTAGATATTTTATAACTGAGCGAAAGGAACTTATTGTGTCTGTTTGAAGTTTTAAGGCGTTTGTTGTGCTTTTGCATGTGAATTCGGCTGTGGGTTCGATTCTATTTTTTATATTAGTGCAGAAAGAACTAAAATCGTTTATTTTGGTTTTGATAAATATTGGTGGTGGTTTTTTTTCTAATGGAGCTGGGACGTCTTCGTCCATTGACTCAATTTGATCATCTTTGTCAACTTGAGAGAGAAGAGAGTAACTATTTTCAGTGACAAATTTTGTGTTAGATTGATTTTTAATGTTTTTAGATTTAGGAGAGTTTCCTTTGGAAATAGGATTTGAACGCTTATGTTTTTTTGGTGAATTTACTTCTACCCAGTCAAAATTAAAAAACACCGTCATCGGATATTTCAGTAGAATTTGATTTTTGTATAGGGTTTTGATTAATTATTTTTATTGGTGATACACATTTATTATTCCTTTCGGAGTTTTTGTTTTGTTTGGCAGTGGGATGCATGTTGATAATAATTGATATTATCTACTAATTAAGTGATGATTGCAAGACAATTTATGAGTTTAGAATTGCGTGCGCAGTTCAATGTCCGAGTAACGTGATTAGCGTATTATAATAAGTATATTAACGGTGTTTAGTAATAGATTTGGTACTATACGTATATGGGTTTGTATAATTAAAATACTTACACAAAGTCTTGTCTTGGGGTTTTGGACCCCAGACGGACGGCGATTTTTTTTTTTTTTGTTAAAAAGCACTTAAAAATTTTAGTTTTTTAACACTTTTCGGAACAAAAACGATTGAGTATTTAGTTAGATTTTTAATAAAATCGTAACTATCAATTAAATTAGATGCACACATTACGAGTGCGGGACATCGAATGGGCAGAGTTTACAGCGTAAATTAGGTAGGATTAGGGTTGTAATGATCACGGTCGCATCTACAGTTCTTTTTACAAATATTTTCTGCACGGCTTCTCTTCGATTATTACTGTAAGTCGTCGTAGTGTGCACACGTCATTTCGAACAAATATAGGTGCAAGTTCATGTATTGTAATTGTTTATTGTATAATAATAACCTGTTTTCCGGTGGAATTTTCACAATGAAAGGTTATAAGGTTTTTTATTATTTTTTTTAACCTTCGTACGATTGTGAAATGAAAGAAAATTTTTATTTTCCTAAACGTTACTTCCTAAATAATGGCATAATGTTATTAACAATTGTGACATAAAATAATCGAAAACTGTTTTCATCACTTCATTATTATTAATATATTATAAGACGGTTTTGTCTTAAAACTTGATGCACTTAAAGTATTTTATTAATATAAAGTATTTTATATTATATTTTATAAAATATTGAAATCAAAGCGTGTGCTAAATTCTTTTGTTCGTTTTAAATTTCCGTTATGGTTTACTCAAATCAATGGTATACATTTAAATATTTATAACATATATCAAAACTTTGTTAAAATAATATTCATGGGTTGTTTTATTGTATTCATTTTAGGTGCATTTTCTATTCGAATAAATATCAAAATTGATTTTCGTAAAAATTTCGAAAAAAAAACATTCAAGTTTATTGTTTGAAAAAATTCTTAGGAAATGGGATTGTTTTTCTTAAGGAAATATGACCAGTTAAAATATTCCAGAGACTCAGTCATTGTTGTCAGCTGTCTCAGTAATACGATTTGACATAGTGTGTGGGCTTTGATAAGTGCCATCGCTTTAGGAATAACCCGACCCATCTGCTATGATAGATGACCTAGATTTAAATGTTATGGTACATTACGTATTTAAATAACATAACATTTTTATTTAAATAAGTAAAATATAAAATAGATTTTTTTTTTGATTACTACAGAACCAGAGATTGATTATTCGTAACATTTTAATTTTCATTCGCACAACGATAATTATTAATAAATATCGAGTATATACTTTAATCGATAATAATAAATCGATTACACGAAAAAGGAATACATAGTTGGATGTGTGACAAATATTTTTCGATAGGTCCACCAAAAATATTTAAATGAAATTAATAGACAATAATTAGCATTAGTCACGTATTAATTACCTCAGATTTTAAATTAAGTTTTTTTTTTAATTGCACATATTTTTTGAAAAATAGTTCTTAAATTAGATCCAGAAATATATCCAGTTTTCATGTTACCCAGTTCTAGAAATTACGTAAATCACTGTCCGATGTAGTACTTATATAAGTCGTATAACTTGTTAATTTTGATCACATATCTAAATTAAAATTGCATATTTTTAGTACATAATTGTCATATATAATGATTAGTTAATAGATATTGTAAGCCATTTTATTTTTACCCGTTGTAGTATCACGTGATATATGTAATGTTGAATATTGTATTAATTAGGAATATATATGTAAATTATGTAATAGTTGAAATCAATAATAAAATAAAACAATTTTGTTTTATTTAAACTGTGATTCTATGAAATATTATATATTTTAAATTCTCAGTATAAAAATGTTTATTTATCTATTTTATTTACGCCCAACAGCAATTTACAAAATATATGTAAAGTGCGTAAATTTAATTTAAAAAAATGTTTATATTTAAATAAATCAAAAGGTTTTTTGTACAAGAGAAATAAAGAAGAACATTGTATATGAATGCTTTTTTGCAGTTAACAAATGTGCGATATTTCATCACATCCGAGCCAACAATATTCTTCCGACATCATAAACATCAATCATATTGTTGTGTTTGTAAAACTTGAGTATTTTATACATATATTTTTAGTCGGAGACGCTGAGGTTACGGTAAATATAGTCACAACATTATAATACTGTGTTACGTAAATATTTTTCCTGACATCAAATACACATTACGAAAAAAATATTCCTGGATGTTCGATACAATATGCAGAAAACAAATAATTTATTTTGTGATACCATTTAAAGCAATTTATCATGTAATATTGTAATTGACATAATATATTATAATATTATTATGTCGATAACGGTACACGAGTATAAGTGTTTTGCACTTTTATTATTTTAATACTACTAACGTTAAAGGTTTGTTACTTTACAATGGGGTTCATAATGGGATTTTGGCAGAAGAGAAATAACAATGTAGTGGCTTGATGTTTCAACGGGCACGCGTGATCGATGATGGACAGTTGAATATTTAATAAACCGTCACCATAACAATGAAGAAATAATGCCATCTGTAAAAATCACTGTGGTGGTTGCAAAAAGTTTTGCGTTAGCGTCAGCTAATAACACAGTGATATTAAATTAGATAGTAATATTGTCTTAAGTAAATCAGACAATAAATTACCACAAGAAAGTCTAATTTCCAAATCTTAATTTAATTTTCACTGTACACCTATGGGTTGTATTACAATTTGGTAAGGATATCGCCGTTCCACCTTAATTATATATATATATTTAGGTACTCGTACAAAGGTACCTCTACATTTTATTCATGCTTTATATTTTTGTTTTTATTACACAGTCTGGTGTTCATTCCATGTCATTCTACACAACACTTATATAGTAAAACTGTGACTATAATGTTATTTTTTTTTTTGTAAATATATTTTTTTTTAAATCATAATAATAGCAAAATATCATATACATATCAACATATCACATTTATTATGGATAAAATAATCATATGGACAATTAAAGTATAAACAATCATTATCTATTAAAAGACGTTTAATAAATTAATTTAAATTAAAAAATGTATCTAATACAAGTGCGAAAATGACATCTAAATCATATTTACAGTAATAAAATCCCTTGTACCCAACACATGCCTGCATTTCAGAATATTATTAGTATTCTGTAGTATAATTGTTAGCAGTACTCTATATTATATTATATTATATTATTTGATTTTACGTTTGTGTGTTTTTTAAAAAAAAAAGTCAAATCCTTTATAAATGATTTAACCAACCATTGAACAGAGACAGTAGTTTATACAGTTTTGTTGAGCGGTGACAAAACCAGAGCACTTTTAAATAAAGCAAAGGTTTCGGTACCAAGAATTCGACAGTTCTTTTGTAAGCTCGGTATATTCGAAAACCCAAAGTAAAAGAAAATATTTTTAAAACGATTAAAGTCTGTTCTGTGGACGTAATGATTCTTATTGTTGTATAATCATTTTCCGCGTCCTTATCGTCGCTTTCTCGTTGGTAAACGAATTTGTTCAGCGGAATTTAGGTTTTCATCGTTTTAAAAACGTAATAATTTTTCGTCTTTAATTGAACGTGTTTTCTTTCTTTGGTCTTTGGTCTAAATTACAGTGCACTATAACGGATTGTGTTATCGAAGGAAAGTTACAGTAACCGCTATACCGACGATATGTTCTACTCAACAAATCACGCATTTATATTAAATACAGCAGCTGTTGGTCTATGTTGTATTTTATGTTTGCGCGAGTCATACAAATGGTCTGCAGAGCTCGTGAACGGTTTTATTTTTATTTGTATTTATCGTTACTCTGTCCACACGTTGGATTACTAACAGGGGCGGACTGGGACCCAATCGGCCCACTGTTCTGCAAAAAAAAATCGGCCCCTACCGTACATAAAACCAAGATTTCAAAAAATTTTTACCTCTTCATATTTTTTAGTTTTTAAATTTATCAATTAAATAAGTATGTTTTTATATTTGGATATTGTAATTTAAGTTTAATTTTCTTTAAAATATAATATATATATATTGTAAAATGAAAATTTTTTTTTACTGATTTTCCCAAAAATAATTTATCATAAGAGTTTTTAAATCACTGTTTAATAATATGTATTTAAACTTTGTTTATAGAAATAAAAAAAAATTACTTCTAGACAAATTAACAAATTTTATTTAACTTAACTGTTCATACTTTAAATACATCTGTAGCATCTATAATAAATAGTACAAAATATAAATGTACAATAGTAAAATAACTATTTATTAACGACTAACATTTACACATAATTTATAACAGATATTATAATATTTAAAATAAATAATATTATATGGTTACACTTTGGTTTTTACAACGATAACATCTGGTTCATCAATGATGAAGAATTTTTTAGTATATTTAGTATTTCTTTGAAGTCAATAGCATCTAATATATCTTTTTCTATTGACATAAGCATGAATGCTTCAAGATGGTCTTGATTTAATGAAGAGCGTAAACGATTTTTAATTATTTTAAGCTTACTGAATGCTCTTTCACAATTAACCTGTGTAACAGAGAGTGTTAAAACAAATTCAACTGCAGCATAAAAATTACAATATGCAGGTGAATGCATATTTAATTGGTAATTAATTTTTGTAGACATATTAAGCATGATTTTGTATTATGATTATTATTGGAAGTTTTTGATTTTTCACACCCTATAAAAAAGACAAACATATTTTTTACTAAACATATATAACTAAAATATAAAAACAGTATATATTGATATATTTTACCTTTAACTTCTAAATTCATTTCATCATTTTTATCCCAGTCTAGAAAAAATTCTTCATTATCTTGAAACATATCATCATCATCATCATTATACATTTTTGAAGTATTTGAATTCAGAGGCTTTGCAATGTTATCATATATTTTTGAGAAATGGTTCAATTCAGACACTAATTTCTGATGGTTTATTGATGATAATTTTGATAAAATTTTTAATGCTGATTCTGGTAGACTGTTATCCTTTGCATATTGAAAATTTTTTGGTAATAAATACTGAATATCTGCTATAATTTCTCTATTGCTTGAAAATCTTTGAATAAAACTGCTTCTCAATTGATCAATAGTGCATTGAAAAACTTCTACTCTAAACTTATCAATAGGATTTATAATATGTTCATCTGAACACATTTCATCATAATTGCGCTTCTTATGTCTAGAACGTATTAATGGTAATTTATCTTCCACAACTATACTATCATTCAATTCAAAATTTGTAAATTTATCATTCATATTTTGTGAGAATTTCTCTGCTTCAACGACAATTGTATCAAAATTTATTTTTCCAATTTCATCAATTGTATTTTCTACCATTAACCAACCAGCCAAAAGATCTAAATTACTGGACTGCAAATATGATGATGTTGGTCCGGCTGAATCAAAAACTTTAATAAATAAATGGGCTGTTAAAATAACTTGGAATTCACACAATTTATTTTTTAATGAAGTTGCTTCATATATGGATTTTTGATCAAATTTTTTTGATGAACAAATAAAATCTAAAGCACTGACAATAGTTGTGTATAAGCAATCTTCTCCGTCGAAAACCCATTTAAGTGCTTTTTCTCTGGACCACCACCTTGTTTCCCCGATTTTTTGTAGCTTTCTAAGTTTTTTTACTCCAACACCTAAATTTTCTTGATTTTTCTTCCAAATGTCCATTCGTTTATAAGAATCAGAAAAGAATGTACTCAAGCGATTCAAGAACCCAAATAAATTCTTGGCTGCTAAATTGTCACAGGTATCACAAATACACAAATTTAGAATATGGGCATAGCACCAAACATAAATACTGTTTTCGTTTTGTTGCTTAATAAAAGACTGCAAACCGTTAAACTCTCCTCTCATGTTAGAAGCACCGTCAAAAGATTCACCAATGACATTTTTAAAATTTATATTATGTTTGTCAAAGCAAGTTTTTAATAGTTCATATAAACTTTTACCTGCTGAATCTTCTACTTTAATGACGGCAAAAAGGCGCTCTTTAATATCTGTATTATTTAAGTAGCGAAAGCAGATAGTGGCTTGGTCCGTAGCTCCAATATCTTGAGTACTGTCAAACTAAAATAGTAAAAACAATGAATTTTTAATTAAAAATAAGAAATATGTTGATTTAAAATTGTCATACTTGTATACTAAAATGCTGATCACCCATTTCTTCACGAATATGTTTCCTCATAGTTTCTAGTATACCTTCAATTACTTTATTAACAGTAGTTTTGGATACAAGTGTAACTAATGATCCTCTTCCCTTAGAATTTTTTTGCCGTTGATCCATATTTAATTTTCGTTTTTTACTTGACAATATAGCATTGTCTAAATATTGTCTTAAAATTGCATCTCTTTCAGCAGTAAATTTCAAAAGCTCCAAAAAATTACCTCTATTGATATTAACATCATTCATCTTGTACAGCCCTTCTGTGTCACCAGTTCCACGATAAGGCAAATTTTGCTTACCCAAAAATTTTATTATTTCAAATACTTGTTTTAATACATGAATTCTTTCTTCGACTTGTTTTTTTTTTCATATTCATCACATTACGGTTGATCAAATATTCAATACTATCATTACTTGAAGCTTTGACATAACTTTCAACAGCACAAATATGTACTTTGCTAATTTCATGAGATTCTACAGCTGCATAAATATTTCTGAAATTTGTGCAGCCAGTAGAAAAATTGGTTGATGATGTAGAGAAAGCAATACATATACTGCAATACAAGGCTTTAACCTCATTATTTTTAACACATTGTAATGTCAACCATTTTCGCAAAATGGGTTTACCTCTCTGATCTTCTCTATTATAAAGTTTGAAAAGAGACCATGAAACATTATGCAGTACAGTTGGTTGACAAGGATGTTGTTTCATAAAATCCATTTTTTGATTAATAGAACTTTTTTTGGGAATCACAAATGAATATATTTTTTCTGCAGCAATATGTTCCTCAACCTCAGGTAACGAAAACGAACAGGATACACTACTTTGCTCGGTTTGATTTTTAGCAGTTGAATACATCTGAACAATCATAATAAATGTTTAATATTAAAATAGGTAGTAAAAACATTAACTAATTAATAATAATTTATACACAACATAATAAGTATAAGGTAGATCTTACCGAACAAGATTACAAGAATACCTATCTAGTAATATATCATTAAAAAAAGTTTACTCACCGAAGGATTGTTTTCTACAGTTTTAACTGAGCAACTTTGTTGTTTTTTGTTGTGTTGAACAATCATCTAAATATTTAGAATACAAATAATATTAAAAAGTAATCACATATTTACATACCAATTATATTGAAAGAAAAATGAATCCAGTTAACCCGTTAAACATTTTAATTTACAGATTAGTAAATATAGATTATTAGATATTATTTAATCTGCAATTCAATTAAATATTATTAATTCAATATTAAAATCTTTGATGTAATGTATAACAAACGTAATTAATGAATCAGTACCTTGAAATAAGAATCTATAGTATACTAAATTCTTTATACTTACCTACGAATACTTTGTTAGAGCGATCCAATCCAAATTCAATTTTTTTTTGTTTTGGGTCATTGGCAACAGCTTTGAAATTGATCATTTTTTTTAAACGAAGCTTTTCAGCTCCACCTTTTAGTTTTTTTTTTCATCATTTTATGTTTTAAATTATAGCAATGCGATGTGCGAGTACACGACGCAATCAAAATTATGGGAATAAGAAATCAATTCGTATTGTGCATTCATACTATCATAGTGATAGTGTCTACTGTCTAGGCTATTATAGACTCAATACTGTAATAACTATAAACTATTTTAAGAATATGTTTTCCGGTATTCCCCAGCGGCGGTCGACCGCTGATAGCGCAGCGATTTATCATATATATATATATATATATAATATAATATATACATTGACTAGCGTATTACGTATACCATTTATTAAATATACATATACTATTATTTATTCGTATATTTTATCAATGGTAATACTCGGGGAATCAAAATTGTATACAAATAAACAAATTCAATTATCTGTTTCAAAAATATTTTTAATTCAATACACGTTGGGTTATTTCGCACCGGCCCGATGAATATAATATGACACCGGCCCACTGTGCAAATGCACAGTAGCACAGTGGCCCAGTCCGCCCCTGATTACTAAGTATACGGCAGAATAGAGATCAAAAGGAGAACATACAAATTGGATCACGTTAAAGATTTTTCGTACGTCTAAAGTACACTATCATTGTTATAATTCACGCGGGGACTATAGTCAAACTCGTGTGATTCGAACGAGTGCTCCAGTGTCCAAACCACCGCGAAGCAGTTTTTCTCGTCGTTCGAATACCATGTCGAAACAACGGTATACTAACCCGCGGTCACGTACAACACACGCACTTCAGTCCCCCAGGTATGGACGACCCCAGGAAAACGTTGGATCAGACACATATCACGTATAAGCGACAAAAATTCAGTGTGTGTGATAGAGTTCTGCGGTGCATGAGTGCTAATCGACGCGACATCTGATCTTGAATTGTCGACCGAAGAGATACGATGGCAATCCGGAGGACTTCACCAAATTATTGCCTGAGGCACAGTGGCATGGCTGGATTCCTTGGACTTTGAAATTCGACTACGTAAATGTGATATTTAATATTTACCGTAATTAGTGCTTAAACCTTAAAACGTTTGTTCGTGGGTCGTTTTAATAATTTAACGTATTACCATTGATTAAATATATTTAATAATAATCAATGGTGTCACCTAATAAGTAGATTTTTCTTTTTATATTTAGTTCGCGTTATCATATCTTACGAATATATATATAGCACACGCATGTAGTCAGCACGCAACATTACTTTTTGATACTCTACTCGCTTTTGGGTCTAAGGCTCGAATAGAAAACTATACGATATCGTATTAACAATTCCGGCAAAGCGAAGAAACATTTCGCGAAACGACTAAAGCGTAGTTAGTAGTTATTGATATTACCATCTGAAACAGAAACGTTATGAGCATATAAACAACGGAAATAAAATACAAAAACACATACATGCAGAGATAGTATCGCATTCAGATGGGTTTGCTCCTTCCATGGGTTCACGAGTTTCATTATACGCGCTACTTATCGTGCCGTTGGGTGTAGTGCACATGCGTGAAATGTGAAATGCTTCTTCGATAATTTTATAAATCAATAACATGACTGACCTATTGCTTTTAGTGTAATACATGTGTATGATGTTTATGTTCGGATTTTTATGCACTTAAAATTATTGTAATACGAGTATGTATTTATGCATTAAAAATTTCCAAATATGCAAAAAAAAAAAAAAATATAAAATATACAGAGTAAAATGTATTTTACTTTTATCATTAAAAATGAAAAATGTATTATAATTTATAAGTATTTAATTTTTATTAGTTGTTATATTTATATTTTATATTTTATAATTAATTATATTTATTAATTTACAATATGAGCGTTACATTGTATTGCAATAGTTTTTTTTATAATTCGATCAAACTTGAATCTAAAAATATTTAGAACAAACACAATAATATGGGTCGGTAATTTATCATTTATCTACCCATTAATTTAAATTACTTTTAAAAATGTTAAAAAATGTACGCAAATGTATTTATATTTTTATAATCCTAAGAACATGCATTTAAAATATAAAACAAACCATTAAATATACATAATAAAAATAATATTATTTGATTCAGTAAGGCTTTCAGTTCACATTTAATGGGATCAATAAAAAAAATAAATGCAATTTTATAAACATCCAAACCAAAATATACTAGTATGACGTTCAAGGGGAAGGAATGCGTAAAATCTATTTATACACGATTGTACGATAATACGGTGTATCGCAATAGTCTTGTGGGAACGTTCATCTCCGTATACAATATATGCACAATGTATACACCCCCTACACGAGTGGTGTCCCTAGACATTTTTATTAGGGGGGAGGGAGTAAACTTCATACATGTATTTACACTTATGAATTTTCCTAGTGTGATATAAATAATAAATAACAAACACTTAAATTAAAGCCCATGAGGGGGCAACTACTCCTTTTGCCTACTTCCCGTGAGGACACCTTTGTTTTACATGTAGGCATGGTTCAAAGGTTAGGCGACTTGAGTGCATGCCAAATGCGGGATTTATGGTGTTTTGATATTAAACATGATTTTTACGAATATCATCAACAAAGAAACGATATTGATGATCGGAAAAAACAACCAAAAGTGCACCAAGAACTCTAAGGCAAGACACATGTATAGTTGATCCCGGGAACTACCATATTCTGAAGAACCAATACAATTCTTCTTCTTCTTCTTCTTCTTACGGTTTATTGGGTCTTTAAGACCATCCCGTCTCATAATCAAGCTTCCATCCAACTCTATTCAGTGCTAAGTCTCCAATTGGAGTAACCTCCCATCTGTTCAACATCCTTTTTTATAACATTTCCCCACCACATTCTAGTTCTTCTCAAGGGCTTTTTACCTATAGGATTTTGTTCAATCACTGCATGCAATAGTGGATTTTGGCTCCTCCAAGCGTGACCAACCCCTCGTAGTCTTCTATTTCTACTTCTTAACAACACAATTATAAATTTAAATAAATTAAATATTTGAAGTAAGTTTTTTGTCACCCATGTACCCAATACAAATTACATGATTGGATGATTCCAAATAATTTCAACTATGAGTGGACGGCCACGGCAATCTGATAGCTTTTTAAGTTTTTATGTGAAAGAAAATTTTGTTAAGTACGCACTAGAATACTAGAGGCGCATACTTGAAATGAAAAATGTCACTTAAGATTAGATTTTTACTTATTTTTACCATACATAATATAATAACAATTTCTATCACTGACACTACATACATTCATTAGTACTTGATACGTGGTAGTTTAAGCCTTCAAGCTTAAAAATAATTATTTGATAACCAGTTTTGTTTTCAAACACATATTGCAACAGATTCACGTTTTTAAATATATTTTCCTATATAGCAGTACATGTTAAACAAAGAAGAAAACACCTAATTGATATGCTATCTTTTTTTAACACGATCGCTCGGGCAACACTGTCTAGTGAGCATTCCAGTTATCATATAGTTCAATGTATTTTACTCGTTATAGCCGATAACTCGTAATAACCATACTCGTTTTATACGTATATTTTAACATACAATCATATGCGCTCGTGCCGGGACCTAACGTTTTGCTCGTTGTAAGCAGTATCTCGTTCTAAGCGATACTCGTTATAGTGATTTCTACTGTATTTGTTTAACATACGAAATATTTAATGTCACGTTTAAATGTTGTGCGAGAAATACATATGCCTGAATAAATCATACCATTTAGTCAAAGAGATTTAAAGTTACTACATGAAATATTATGCGTTTATTATAATGAAACATTTCTAAAAATGATAAAATTATAAGCTTTATATTAATACATTACGTGTAGAGTGATACTTTCTTCTTATAAATATTAAAAATTTACTTTAAAAATAAAAATAAATTTTACTACACTCTCATATTTTCGATTGTCGTATTAATTATTATTCGAGGATTCTATATGGGTTATTGTATGGCAATTAGAGCTGATTAGGAGCGAAAAAATGGTGTACAAACTGTGAAAAATTTTAGGACACGTAAGTGTTTCCTGAATAAAATAATAAAATAATTCTCCAAGTAAACGAATGTTTACAAATTAATTATTCCAGTTTAATTTTCAAATATCAGTGTGTAGACGTAATGTTCTTCAATTTCGCAGATAATAAATGAGATTAGACGGTAATACATCGTATTTTAATTAACAATAACTATTCAAAGATTACCATATATTTTGCACTTTTTGTTTATTTCTCAAACGAATGTCATGGCAAAATATTTTTTTTCCGTATTACTGTGTTTTTACATAACATGCTTTCAATCTAAATCAACGGTTCTCAAACTGTGGTACGCGTACCACTAGTGGTACGCGAAAGACTATAAGGTGGTACGCGAAAGGCCGTGATAGAACGGAAATTAAAAATTCGATATTTAACTCTTATATTAATTTAAAAACACAAATACATTTTTATTAATAAATAAATAGTAATTTTATTGTAGTATTTTAATGCCTTTATGTTTAAAATAAATGTATTTTATTATGTAAAGTTTATATGGTTCTATTATTAGTGGTACATTACTGATAATATATTCAAGTGGTACGCGAAAAAAAAAAGTTTGAGAACCGCTGATCTAAATAATAGTTTGTATTATTTCCTTTGATAATATGTTTGATACCATTAACCGGGTTATTTATTGAATCATTTTATCTAACGTTTTTTTTTCCTTTGCTTATAGCAATTTTAGTGTTCCATATATCGTTAGAATTATTATTATTTCATTAATTACATAGATGGTGTCGTAATATTTAATGTCTGAAAATAATAAGTGTATGATATTATGCGTCGTTAAAGTTCTCAGCTGGACCTCCGTGACCCATCGTGGAACAACCTACCCGTATTTACTTGGATAAAAATATTTCTATCAAGAAAATAATCGGTTTCTATGCATCCGTTTTTTTTTAAAAAATTAGAAAAGTCAAAAAAAAAGTTTAAATTGTACACATAAGTGCATTATAAATAAACTTGGAGGTAAATGGTATGCAATTCGGATAGACCTCTTTAAGATGTGGCATGCAATTCGGACAAACCCCTCTAAGAGATGGCATGCAATTCGGACATTCCAATTTATGTTTATTTTTTTGGCTTGCTATTCGGATGCACCGTATTACAGGGCTGCATACGAATTGAGTCTTGTGTATTTGTGTACAATACAATACTTGTATATATAATTCAATGAATATAGGTGATGGTAGAAACTACGTTTTTTGTATTGACAAACATTTATCTGATAAAAATTGTATGTATTCAATTACAGTAGAATTTGCTTATTATGATGCCGTATATAATGGTATTTCGGTTAAAACGATTCCTAGCCATGTATTTGATTAGTTTTATATCTCACGTAGATGTTTTCGTCATCCGGATACAATAAATTTTTAGTCTGGTTATTAGTCACACGATTGCAACGTATGGCTCCACGTAAGGTATACATGTATGACTAGTAGTTTCTACTTATAAAATTCAAATGCGATCATTTCAACTGATAATTAAGCTTGACTATTAAGTAAATCTTAATTTTATTTTAACTGAACTCCGTATGTAAATAATAAATAAATCATTTAATTAATTGTTTGCAAGAAATACAGTTTAACAAGATAAAATTTGTACTACATGTATGTACTATTATTGCGGTTTCCTTAACCGACTTAAAAATTATTTTAATATAATATAATGGTATAGTTGTTTAACGTAATAAACGAAATACCAATATTCATCGAACTTATAACGAAGGTATAAAATTTTCCAACTTTAATATAAATCTTATTACACGTACAATAAATACCGATTGTTCGAATCAAAATGTTATCGGAATTATACGGTTTAATGCGTTGCACGAATATATAATATGTTAATCAAAGTGCTGATGAAGTTATAATGTACGTTACCGAAACGTATACGGTTACAAGGGCGTAATTACGGGGAGGGATATGGGGGATAGATCCCCCCATGAGCTGTATTTATATATTGTCTTAAACCTACAAATAGCTCAAATACAAACTTATAAATTATTACGAAACTAAAAAAAAAACCCCTATTATAAATATTTATCCGTAAACGTCTATGTTTTCTTTAATACACCAAATTGTCAAAATGTTCTTTTAACCAATATTGAAAATAGTAATGAGGATCCTAAGGTTAATACTTTAAAAAGATTGTGTGCTACACGATGGGTGCAGCATCATGATGCGGTAACAGATTTCATTGAAATATTTGCATTCGTAGTTAAATCATAGGTACAGAAAATATTCCTAATTGGAATGATTACACTGCAACGTAAGCTAATATACTATTAAAAACTATTGATTTAGAATTTCTTGTATCCTTACAAGTTATACAAGTAAATAGTAATTAATAAATATAAATAATTTTATTTTATAATAAAATATTTTTCCAATTGGTTTTTTCTTTTGGATTACCATTGTGTAAGTTGCTACAAAAAGAAAAAAATGATTTAAGAGAAGCAGTAAGCCTTGCTGAAGATATTTCTATTGTATTAAAAAATATCAGACTAAATTGTGTTACTGAATTTCACAAGCATTACCCCCACAAGTTTGCCATACAAATTTATTTTGATCCCCCCCCCATGAAACATTCTCAATTACGCCACTGTACGGTTAAGTTCGTATGCCTACAATATACGTAAAGATTAATATATATACTCGTATATTATCTACTGTAATACGTTTTGTGCGTTTTAATTGACGTCACAAAGATTTTTTTTCCAAATATGACTATTAATAAAGTTAAAGTTAACTATTTCGAAAAAATATATCAGCGAAATAATTTTCATAGGTACGCGCACGTGCATCCACGCAAACGTTGACTTATAGATTCCTTTCCTGACATTTCCGTTTCGATAGGACACAAAAGTGATTTGCCACTGATAAACTTTCCTGAACTGTTGACGGTTTGTCATCGGCTTGTCTTGCACTTCATACACGCGGAAATTATATTACGTCTAATGCACTACTATACCTTATTTATGGTTTATGCTTCCATAAGTTTGTTCGAATTAGAAATAAGCTAACATACCTACTACGTGAAATATAAAATAGTCTTATTTTACGTTACGTTCGTGGGTATCACGTTCGATTTCTATAAAATCCTTGTACACGTATAAAGCTATACATATAAATATTTACATAAAATTAAAATACTATTAATTCACTCATCGATCGCTATATCTCAATAATGACTAAACATATCTGAACTTTAAATGTTAAAATGATGATTTTAACAATTTACGATTAGAGGTATATATAAATCTATGTAAAAATGAATAAATAAAAATAAATATCACTTGAATATAAGTACTTGAAACAATAATTACTCTAAACTAAAAAATATATGTATCCCCCGGGCAGGACCAATAAATTCAGCTTCTTTACTATAATATAAAGCCAGTATTTATGATATTAACGAAATAGTTTTTGGACACGATGAGAGTTTGTCAGAGTATTTATTTTTTGTCCATAACATTAATTTACAGAGTTGGAAGATATATTTAGCGTAAACCCATAGCCTATACATATATATATGTACTCAGAAACATTTTTCTAATACCTTTTTTGAGATGAAAAACAGTTATTTAGTTAGTCAAATTGGATACTGCATAACTTGTAAGAAAAAACTATAATAAAGTTGATCGATTTTTTTCCCCGTCTAATCTACCGTTTTAATTAAATAATATTTTTATTAATACAATTCGATAGGAAACATTAATTTAAATTAAAATAAACAAGAGGATAAAGAAGCCGTAAAAAATATACATATATGTGTGTGTGTGTGTGTGTGTGTGTGTGTGTGTGTATGTTAGTACTCTGCATGGTCTATAATTTTAGGGACCGGACCAGACTGAAAATGTTAGCAAGGGACTGAATCAATTGCTAAATTTTTGTTTAGACTGGTTCTGTCTGAATATTTAAAATAATTTGTTAGAGTGAATCAAGACCGAACCGTTAGTCTAAACAAACAAATTTCGTACTTTAATAGTTTATGGCCTGGACGTGTTCTAATTTTTTTACTACCGAACCGTACCGAAAATATAATATAATACGATAGAGCGGACCAGTAATTCGAACTAAAAAAAAATTTGAATTGTGAAAGTTTTGAATTATACCACATAATTGTTAGTTGGTATAGTTGGTAGAGATTTAAACTGCTCGTGGATTATTAAAAAAATGTAAAAACTGATATTATATACATAGAAAAGTGCATACTATATACTATATACTACATTTATATATACAGTGTATATAAATAAAAATTCTAACGGACGGCTTGGCAGCTGAATATAAGCCCTTCCATGTCAACCGTACCATAACGAGAATAATGGCAAGCATTGTTCTTGAAAATATTTTCGAAAATAATTATTAATAGACACCAAGAAGAGCTCTGATATATATATATATATACTAAAAAGTATATTAGAAAATGGCGCAGGGCTAAAATACTGATTCCCTAAATAATATACGGGTTATTAATTCTAAAAAAAAATGTCTTTAAAATTTAAATTTATTTTCATTTAGATTTTAAACGCTCTGTAACCCCTAATCGTGACCGACCGATCCGGACCAAACTGAAACAATAATAGTTTAAACTAGGATCGAATCGAAATATTTCATACAAATATGAAGTCGGATTGAACCAGTCCTTGGCCAATTCTTTTACGATAAGAATGCACCAAATCGATATGGACAGAATCATCTAAGCACTAGTATTTGTGTATATATGCTATCTGATTTTGTCCGCATAAAATATAGTGTATCAATAATATATATAGAGAAGAAAAGTGTATATTATTTTAAAATATAAATGTTGATCGTAAACACAATAGTTTACATTGTCATGCAAGCTTGACACTATTCATCAACCTTCTGTCACTAAGTGAATGCTTAAATATAATTGGTTTTATAAAAAAAAAAAAAAAATATTATGATTTTAATTATTTCAAAAATATTTGAAATCAATCATTTGTAACAGTCTACAAATAGGGTACATAATTTATCAGTAAATAAAATGAATTTAATTAAAATCCTATACATAGAAAAAATGGTAGATAATAATTTTACATTTTTGTATTTTTTAGTCAAACAAAAAACATTTTGAAAAAAATACTGTGCAGAAACGCAATTATTTATACTTATCAGCAGGGCTCATAACTTATAGCTCTAAAAAAGGTTATTATAAGCGCAATAATATGCTCTTAAAAATATTCATATAAGCGCTTAAATATGCACTAAAAATACTAAAATATGCGAAAAAAAAAATTATTATTATTATTAAAAAAAAAATTGAATAATATTACATCGGAATTATTGTGGTAAACTATTATTATTATTAAAAAAAAAAAATTGAATAATATTACATCGGAATTATTGTGGTAAACGACTTGTGGTACTCATTTATTCTGCGATTGTTCTGTTATAAAAAAAAAATTATAAATTATAATTAATAATGAATAATGATACCTATATATTTTAAATATTTTTAAACATATATTTACCTTGAAAGTTACATTGAATAATTAGATGTTTGTACAAGTTTTCAAAGTGAAATGATCTTCGATTGTTACTTAGTAGTCTTGTACATTGAAAACGACCGCTCAATGTCCACTGACGTAATTGGTGCAAACTTAAAGTACACGAGATCATCTGTTGAAAAGTCTTCAGGAAGTCCAGGTTCAAGTTCTGTGTTCATAGTTACACCAGATAATATATTTGAAATATTTTTTAAAATTTTAAGACCGACATTTTTGTGGGTGACGTTATTGAGTTTATTAAAAACAGCTTTTCCAATTGGTCCTTGAAGGGTTTCAAAAACTTTTTCAACATTTTCAAATACATTTATAGCTTCAGCTAATGGTAGCCCTTGTTTTTGTAACTTGGTAATGGAAACTGTTAAAATTGTAAAATTGGACTTTATGTAGGCCAAATCTCTTTCAATACCAGCTTTGGAAATATATTTTTTGGCCTCTTTGATGCTAACAGCATCATCGGCGTCTAGTTTTTCGAGAATTTTACGTATGATTTCAATGTTTTCACAATAGTAATTCGAGGCGATGATCCACGTACTCCAACGTGTTATAATAGGCTCCGGTGGCAAATTTAAATGAGGAGCTTCATCTTTGAACAGTTGAACACGGTTTGGTGCTTTTCGAAATATTTTCTTAACACTATAAATAAGTTTGTCGACATTACTAAATTTGCCCCTTACTTCCTCTGCTACTCGGTGGAGTCCATGAGCTGTACACGTAATATGAATCATTTTGGAATAAAATGCTTTCAATGTATTACCAGCTTTTATCATATAGGGAGCGGCGTCGGATGTAAACAATAAAACATCCTCGTGTTGAATACCAATGATTCCGATAGATTTGTCGAATACTCTGCAAATAGTCGAATAATTTGTTTTTTCTAATTGTTCTGAATGAACTAAATATTGTTTACCCGGGTAATCTGCTTCAAGTATACCAACAATTACATTAGCAACAAACCTACCTTCAACATCGGTAGTTTCGTCAATGCTGACCCAAACTTTTTTACCAGACAGTTCAAGTTTAATTTTACTCATTGTTTCGTCAAAAATGTCATCTATGTATCTAAGTCTCAAGTTTGTTTCTGTAGGAACATTATTTCCGGTATAAGTTTCCAAAAATGTACGAAAGCTTTGATTTGAAACTTTATTCAGTGGTATATTTGCTGATAACAACGCAAAACACAAATCTTTACTGAATGAGGACTTTTTGGTAGAGTTGGTAACCAATTGTTGTTTTTTTTTTTTTCACTTTGATTTTCTGCACGTTTAACGGCCTTCATATGTTTTTCGGTTTTTAAATGTTGTGTGATATTAAATTTTTTTTCGTGGTTAATTTTAATATTACAAAACTTACATAGTAATACACTAGCGTCGGTTGCAAATGTATTTTCACCAAATTCGCGAACAATATTTTTAAGACGACTAGAAACAGATTGTTTTTCTTTAGGCATTGTAAAATAAATTCTGTATGAACAAAACTATAGAATTTAGATTGCGAATTCACGAAATGAACTAGCATGCATACAATACGAACAATCGGAAACGACTGAGTAATAATCTGTAAATAATCTGAAAATAATGATATCGGAATATCTAGATAATGGTTTCGGAATACCTAGAAACTAAAAATAAAATACTAGTGCATATGCTACAATTTCTTTAACGATGGGATTACCAAGTATCAAGCATACACTCTCGCTAGGTCGCACGTCATCTAAACTCGTATAGTTATATATAGTTTTTTCTTATAATATTATAAGAATAATTAATTGACACGAATTAATTACTAATATAAATAATTAATACGACTATAATTACTTTTTATTATTAAGAAAAATTTTTTTAAAAGCTACGGAACTGAAAACAAAAAAAAATAAATAAATATTATGGAAAAATAATATTGGAAAATAGAAAAAAAGCAAAATAGCACTTATACTTCGAAATATGCAAAAATATGCAACATAAAATTTCGAATTTAGCTTCTTGGGTATCTGAAACAAATTTATAGCTCACATAGGTATCTCTAGGACCTCTCAAAAAAAATATGCAAATGCTAGAAGTTATGAGCCCTGCTTATCAGCGTACCTACGTAAGCATAACAATTATAGTATAGGTTTTTATAAATTTATTTACCAGAATGTATTAAGTTAAAAACGATACAGATTATCGTTCTTATGAATACCATTATATTTATATGCACGAGGATTGCACAAAAATCAATAGTTGAAATTAAACATTTATTACGTATAAATATTATTTATATATTTTACAATGAAAAAAATAATTTTATTCGGAACTTTTCGCCTACATATTATAATTATATTAATATTATTACTCCGATAAAATAATGAAATGTAGGGAGTCGACTCTCATTTCACAAAAATTCTTCACACACACTTTAATTTATTATTTTTTTATAAGTTCATAAATAAAATATGTACGCATCATTACTATTGCATTATATAATATCACATATTATTATAATATGTGCTCTTAGTATTTTGAGAGAGTATATTTATAAAAAGGCACACGTTTTCACAAATACACCATAGAAATAATGTCTTAAAACCAGGCCCGGATTAAGGCGTAAGCAGTGTAGGCTTCAGCCTACACAACCACGGATTTAGGGGCACGGGCACTACATACTATCCTTATTTTTTTTTTTCTAAACTAGAAAAATTGTACAATCTGTAAAATAGTTATTGACAATAAGCACAATACTATCCTGATGTTATTTTTATTTAAATAATATCGGAAATTTGAAATAGTAATAATCAATGCGTTTTGTCGTGCGGTCTTCTAAACCTCGTTTTATTTTTAGATTGTTATTTTTCCGTAGAACCGGTCGCACACCGATAACGTGTGTAGAGCCGCTGACGGCAGACAATGCCAGTGCGTTTACTTATTTATATTTGTCGTAGCTCGCCGCCGATGGTCATAAATTGGGTAAAATAGTATAAAATATTAAATAGTATTAGTATTTCGTATACACGCGTCACGTGCATCGAAAATTCGTCCGTTTGATCGTACGATTCGTACGTATGTTTTGTTAACACTATTGTAACTTGTAAATTTAAATTATAAAGGTTTTACTTTAGTGCGAGTAGTGCATTTTATATATAGTTTAGTGTTCGATATTTATGTAAAAATGGATCAGAAACGACATATTAGTGGAACACAAGCGAGAAAGCGTGCAATTGATAAAAAAGAAAAAGAAGTGATTTTATTAAGTAAAATACCTAGGTTAAATAATTTTTTCAAACAAATAAATAACATTACCCCTGGTTGTGTTGAAGATAATAAACTAGAATCTTCAAATGATATAACTATTACTAATAATTGTTCTACTACTTCTACTTCTATTCAATGTACTGCGTCTTCTTCAGATCAATCAGTTGTTGATATAAATGAGGAATCAGAAAAATCTGAGCTAAATGTCATTCCTAATCCTCTTACGCAGAATAATACAAATAATTTTAAAGATCCAGCAGATTGGACAAATAGTAATATATGTCGTAATTATATTGCAAAATTTGGATATGATCAGAACATTGATGCAGATTTTACCTCATCAAAACGAACTTATTCTGATTATGATCGTTATTGTAGTAAATCAATCTTTACGAAAAATCGAAAAAACGGAGAAAATATTTCACGGAAATGGCTTGTTTATTCAATTTCAAAATTTGTATTATTTTGTGCTCCATGCAAATTATTTGGATGCAGTACTCAACTGGGAGATGCTGGATTTAATGATTGGAAAAATGGACATTAAGTTATTTCCAGGCACGAAAATTCTTTGGCACATAAAAATAATACATTAAGTTTTATTACAATACAAAGTGATGTAGGTAGAATTGACACTCAATTGGCAACACAAGTGACTGATGAAATTAATTACTGGAAAGCTGTTCTTCATCGAGTTGTTGAAGTAATTAAATTTCTCGGTGCAAAAGGTTTATCATTCAGAGGTGATAATGAACAATTTAACAAAATTAACAATGGGAACTTTTTGGGAACGTTAGAGTTACTTGCTAAATTTGACCCTTTTATTGCTCAACATATAGAAAAAATATGGGAATAGAGGGAAAGGAACTCCGTCTTATTTATCATCCACAATCTATGAAGAACTTTTACTTTTGATGAAGAATGATATAATTAAAATTATATTAAAAGAATTAAAAGCAGCCAAGTATTATTCTTTAATTGTTGATTCTACACCTGATATAGCAAACGTCGATCAACTTGTTATTGCATTAAGATATGTTTTACCTAGTGGTGTACCTGCAGAAAGATTTTTAATATTCATTCCAAACAGTGGTCATAAATCTAAAGAAATGAGCAATGTTGTAATGGATTTTCTTAATTCACACAATATACCAATTGAAAATTGTCGTGGCCAGAGCTACGACAATGCGAGGAATATGTCAGGTCAGTATTCTGGATTGCAGTCAAGAATTAAAAGTTTTAATTCATTTGCAGAGTATGTACCATGTTCTGCACATTCTCTTAACTTGGTCGGAACGTGTGCAGCAGAAAGTTGTAATTCTGCTACTTCATTTTTTATGCTTCTCCAGGAACTATACAATTTTTTTTCTAGTTCTACTGCACGTTGGGACATTTTAAAAACATATTTGAAGAAAAATCTTAGTGTAAAAAATTTATCAGTAACTCGCTGGAGTGCTCGTTTTGATTCTTGCCATGCTTTATTTAATTCTTATGCATTTATAATTGAAGCTTTGCATAGTATAGTTGATAATCAGAAAGAAAAAGCTGTATATAAAGTAGAAGCTAATGGGTTGCTTGCAAGATTAAAAACTTTAGAAACTGGTTTAATGATATGCATATGGAATATTAAACAGGTATTTTTCACTCTATAAATTAATTATTTTTAAATAATAAATTATGCTTTCATTTATTTTATTTTATTAGGGTCAGCTTAATAGATAAATAAATTAATATAAAGTTTAATATGATTTTAGTTTTAATGCTACAAATAAAAAATTACAATCAACTGACATTGATCTTCATACAGTATTAGAACTATATAATGGCCTTGAAAATTACTTGGTACAGATTAGAGATGATTTTGATGTTTTTGAAAATAAGGCTGTAAAAATTACTGGTTGTTCGGAGTATACCAAAGATTCCAAGAGAAAAAAAAAAGAGAAAGGTATGTTTAACTTATTAATTTTAAAATACACATAAAATAATTTGAAAAAAGTCATAAACATTAACAACATTAAAAACTATTTTTTTTTTTAAGCTATGGCTGATGAATCAAGATTTCAACCTCTCACAGAAATCACAGGGAAAATAGATTTTATTAGAAATGTATATTATGTGATAATTGATACTCTTAAATGTCAACTTAGTTCAAGAAGACAAGCTTATGAAAAAATATCAGATATTTATGGGTGTATACCCACATTGTATAAAACACCGAGTTCTATTGTTATAAGGAACACATGTGGAACTTTGGCAAAATATTTTATTGATGATGTTGAAAACTCAAGCTTACTTATAGATGAGTGTATTCTTTTTTCAAAATTAATTTCCACGGATAAAAATGTAAAATCTGTTCTCTCTATGTATAAGTACATCAAGACTAAAGAATTAGAGTGTATGTTTCCAAATTTAGAAATAGTTATGCGTATGTACCTTAGTACAGCAGTTTCAAACTGCTCAGGCGAAAGAGCTTTTTCTGTACTTAAAAGAGTAAAATCCTACTTGAGGTCAACCATGAAGGAGGAAAGACTGAATGCATTAGCAATATTTAACGTTGAAGCAGAATTGGTTGAAAAATTAGATTTTAATGATACTATTAACACATTTGCCCATCAAAAAAGCAAGAAAAAGAAAAGTATAAAATAATGATTTGTTACTTTTTGTAATATGATTATTTTATATTTTTATATATCTAAAATATATTTTGTTTAATTTTAATTTTATGTTTTTACTTGTTTTCACATAGGTATTATATACATGTACATATTGATGTGGCTAATAAACCTAAAATAAAGTTTTATTATTTATTCAAGTATCGAGTAGAGAAATGTGTACAATATTTTTTTTTAATTGGGGGCACCAAATTTTTTACAGCCTATGGGCACTATACTCGTAGATCTTAATCCGGGCCTGCTTAAAACGAATATATTAAAAATAGTATTTTACATTTTTCTTCATGTTTCTTCATGCCAACTCGTACGATAAAAAAAGTGTCCATTGATCATAAGTGTACATTAAAAAAAAAAAAAAAATGAAACTTCTATACATAGAGTTATATTTTGATATTGAACACGATTCGTTGTTTTCATATATTTATTTTAGATTCTGAGTGAAACGAAGTACGTATTAGTCTTAACACTTGTAGTTTTTGTTTTTGTGTGTCTGTGTACATTATTTCGACTAAGGGAAGTAATTTAATCATCACTAAATAAATAATAAAAATAGAAAATGGTTATTATAAAAGTTGTTAAGTTAAAGACATTTTATAGTTTCAAATAATATTAATGAATTTTTTTGGTGCCTATAGGCACTTGGGATTTTCGATTTTCCCAAATTCTAAATGCCTTTATTCTTGTTGTGAAAGTTAAGACATTAAAAGTTCAACCTACCTTAGAGAGCATTTAATATTACGTCAGAAAACTATCTAACTAATTTAACTATACCTTATATCGGAGAGGTAGGCTAAATTTTAAATCAAATATCAGAATCTTATGTATTAAAATTAAAATTATAGCGTGAAAAAAAGCAAAAGTCTATAAATTTTCGACAGCATCGAGACGTGCCACCTATTGGGCTATGTAAGAGTAATGCAAGGTCCTCTCACCCCCCCTCCCCATTATGGCCCAATTACAGTGACGTGTTGAATTTATTTTTGATGAAGAACAAAACAATTTTAATTTAAAATCAAATATTTTAGAAGTGCGGTTATAATAATATAATAGGATTTTTTTTTTTTTTTTTTTAAACAAGTGTAACAACAAAAATAATCCAATTATTAACAGTTCAATCATGATTCTGTAAGTATTATTATGAATATAAACAATAAATAAATACTATACAGTTTTCAAATATTCATGGTTTGTGGAATTAATTATAGAACAGAAATATTAAATATTTTTATCTTAATTTATAATTTAATATTATCAGCACACTTTTAAAGAATTTTTAAAACGTTGCGTACAATAAATAGTTTTAATGTGGTATCTATTGTAAATAAAAAATTCAAATAAAGCAAAAAAAAATTATTTGAACATTTTGTGAGTTGTTCATGACAAGTTGAACTAAAATATACATATAAAAAAAAAAAAAAAACCGGTAAAGCACGATTCCGTACGTTTTACCTTTTTGGGAACACGATTCCGTACGATTTCATTTAAAAATAAAAAAATATAAACATTTAAAATATATCATTTGTAAATGATTTAATAATTATAATTTGATACATTGATAATTAATACAAATACTTGATAAATATTTTATATATATTATATAATCAGAAAATAAACATCCTATATCTAGGTTAGGACATATAGATACAAGTTCGATGAATGCATTTTCGATTTCATGTGGTGATAGAAATGGCAACCCGAAAAATAGTTTTAACCATTTTCCTAACTCGTCGTCATTTGTATATGCTGTTCAGAGTCGCTGTTCAGAATTTATCTGTAAAGTTAATACGTTGAATATTACCATTTTATAAAGAAATAATACATTTTAAGCATATTTACTTTTCGCCACCAACACTGCCCTAAATTAAATCGACATGCTTGAATTTCTACATTTGGGAACACCTCTCTACATGCTTCATGAGCACTTATCTCAAAGTCTAAATATAACTTTTGAATAACAAGTCTTTTGAAAATTAATTTTTCACTTAATTCTTGAAGAAATAACCACATGTCAATGTAGGTTTGTTTAGATTTATCAGGCAAGAAAAAATAAACAACGGGTATATAAAATCCATTTTGTAAACAATTAAATGTATAGAGCTGAATATAATGTTTCGGCGCGTAATTAAAAGTACCATCGGCAAAAAAATCTGATGAATTAATCATACATCTTAGATTTTGTTCTGTAGTTATACAAACGAATAATTTGTTATCGGGTACAAAAATAAATTGTTCACCTTTAAATTTAAGTACATCATTATTGTGCATACTTTTGAGTTGTTCAATTGATTCAATTAAAGATTTTGGAAAATCCGGGTATATTTGTCATATATGTCATACATGGCTTTTCTGATTGACCGTATATCGCTATGTTCAATTTCTTCTGAATTTACGCTTTTTATGAGTTTTGTTCGAATTATTTTAATGGGTCGGATAGAAATAGATCCACTTGCCTTGCATTTACAGTTTTCTCTCAGTACATGTCTTTCGACACTTTGGAATTTTCACAGTGATTATGTTCATTTTATGTTTGATGAATTAAATTTCCATTTGTTACAATGCATAACAATTTTTGTATACATAACCATTTTTTTAAACCATCTTTTCGTGTTCGTATAAGCCGATATTTATGGGACTTAAATAATACCAGTGGTTTTCCTTTTTCCGAAGTTATAAATTTAACTTCATTTTCCATGTTCACTATTTTTTATATTTTTATAACGCACCGCACTTTACGCAAAACGATGTGGTTATCGACTGGCATGCGACGACTAGGGAAAATAAACATTGATACCTATCTTAATTTATTATTAAGATATTATGTCGTATGCTGTAGATTATCAGTAGTTTTGGTTTTGATGTACCTACATACACAAATATATTTTTTTGTTACTGATAAACTATTTTGTAATGATTAATAACCATATCAAATCTAATAGTGTTATTGCGATTTACTTTGAGATGATGTCGATGTCGATGTCGACCGATACTGTTTAATATCTACGACGTATAATACGTATATGTGTTATACAAATTAATAGATTACATTTATAATTACATAATTTTTTAACTTATTTAGAAATCTGACTACGTTACACTAAAATCTTAGGTTCAAAACGTACGGAATCGTATTTTTTAAAATGTGTACGTTTCCGTACGCTGATAAGGACCGTACGGAATCGTGTTCCACCCAAAAAAAACAGGATATTTTTCTTTAAGCAGAAATAAGAAACCTGCTGTTTTGGGTAAACTGAAAAACTATTACTGCAGTAAAAAATGTTTATATTGTATTTGTTGCATAATAATATCATAGTATAAATATTATATTTTTATGATTGACGATTTAATATTAAACCAAATAATTTTATAACCAAAAGTTGTTAGTTTTGTTGAGCGTCATTTGTCGTTGTAACGAACAAAAAATTAACACTTTTAGTTGTCAATAACGAATAACAAGTGATATATAAACCGTATAGTTTTATAAATAAATTTGTATTCAAAAGTTTGTAGTTTTATTCAGTGGATAGTTAAAACTTTCAGACGTGAGTGATCAATTATTTTTTATTTGTAAAACAGTCAAACAATAATAAATTAAACGATTGCTGACCATTGAATCAAATTGAATACTGGCGTATAGTTAATTATGTGATCTGTATAGAAACTAAAGAATTCTGGTTATTTCCAATGAGAAAAGCGATAGCCGAACAATTCATTGCAGAAACAACGTCATACTTGAAAATCACATTTAATTTTCAAATTAATTTTTTATGTATAATTTATTTAATGTATATTTGTATTTTACTGTGATTATTTTGTCTGTGATATTTGTGACAATCGAAAATCCACCCATTTTAAAAAAAAACTTCAGTGTTTTCGTGACACGTTTGACTAATTTTGACTGAATTCTACAAGAATAGTTTTTTATTCGTTAGAGTAATAATATCTAGGAGTTTCTTGTGGATAGTTCAAAAAAATAAAAAGTTATACCTCTACAGCATCATATGCGATATAAACTAAAGATCTCGTCATGTAACTGTAATTCGACCAACTCTGTATTGTGAAATTTAACATAGTTTTCAATACACACCCAAACATAGGAAACTCTTACACTTTTGATTTTTCAATAGTTATCTAAAATTATTCTAAAAAAATATTTAAAGATATGACTAAAATTACTATAAAATATGTGTAGTTCAATAAAATATATGCGTATAAAAACAAAAACATACCTAAAAATGATTTTAGTTTTGAAATTATACATATCCTTTTTTTGCACTTATTTTTTAGTCTCCGTAAAATAGAAATTCTTTATAACAGAAAAATCAGTTGGTCAATAGCTATTCCCTTGAAAAAAAATTGTATACAATTTATAGTGATTGTTTTCATTTGATGTGTAATGTTTTCGATATACCATACGTATCAAACCATGAAAAGTCCGAGCACTACGTAGTTAGCCACCTACAGCATTAGGTGCGAGAAAAGTGATAAAATTCAATGTTTCATTTCGTAGCGTTACGAAATGACAATTGAAAGATTGAAATCAATTCGATAACTCGTTCAATTTCACTCGTAAACTTGTTATCGTTCTTATTATTGTCCAACGAGAACGCACACTACCGACGCTATCAGCGCAGTATCAATCGTCGTGGTTGTGGACGAGCGAATTGCACTGAACTCTGTGACCCTGTAACCAGAGCCGCATTATAGTCATAATAAAAAATTACTTTTAGTGAGGCTCTTTCTTCCAAAAAAATTTCATTTTTTTATTTAGATTTAATAATTTGTAATTACAACTAATTGAAATAAATATAACATATTTGTATATTGTAAAATAGCTATAATTAATTGATAAAACAGTACTCTTTGTACTGGTTAGCCAACGATAATAAAACACGTTATGGCTACTTTCAACTCGTGGCTGGGTGCTATAGCTCCTCTAGCCACCATCCCTTGATCCAGTCTTGTCTCTGACCACTGTTGCAAAAACGGTTGCTTTTAAAAATGAAATGACCGGGGGATATGATAAAACGAATAAATGCGAAGTAATAATACGTGACGATATATTGTCTAAGAAAGTGTCTCCAGCCCTAAACAATCGACAAAGAGGATGATGCACACCCGGGAATCGATTAATGACGTGACATTTCAAATTTAAGAAATACGGCCGCGATCTGGGCGCTGCAGAGTAGGCACGTTAATAGGTGCTTATTTTGGGGAGCAATTAACTTTCTACAAAACTTTTGGGGCTTAAATATTGTGTAATTAAGTGGTACATACCTACCTTGTGTTTAAATTAGAGATTACTATAACACCATCTTTGGTGAGGGAATTACCACCATCCCCATAAATGCTCGGTCAAACAGAAAGCGGTCTGCCCGTGCGATGCACCGCCGAACAGTGGTGAATCTAGAATTTTGTTTTAGGCCCAAAGTGTTTCAAAAAATTATAAAACACCTATATTAAATAAGATAAAATGCATGACTTTAGGTCATAATTATACACGGAAAAAAATAACTCAATGATTTTTAACAAAACAGTTATGTTAAATATTAATTGGTATTGCTAATCATAATACAGTTGATACTACAAAACCAATGGTATAACATACCTAAGTGAATAACAACAGCTACAAAATTAATTTAGTTGAACGTGATTATTATGATATAACTATATTCATATTTAAAATAACACATATTATGTAGCTGTTACAAAACAAAAAAAAAAAATACAAAAATTGTGTTAACGTACACAAATGGTTAAGTAGTAGTTACTATACCTTCTTGTAAACACTACCCAGTGTGATATTAAACTACTAATCTAATTGTGTTCTGGTAACATTTGACATTTTTGTAGTCGAGATGATATAATAATAATTAAATGAAAAATCTATTATGTTGTATTTACACAATAATTATTGTAAAACATTTGTATACTTTACATGGGAAAATGTTAATGTTAGCAATCACTAGTTGTTTAAACGCAATGTTTTGTTGACTTTATGAGTGATTAAGTTGTATTCACTATTGTTTGGTTGTTTTTACAAGAATAATTGTTATAATAACAGTTGCGCGTTAAAAATAACATTATTATGATTGTCCGTTACCAAGTTTATGTTGTTATCACCTAATTATGTGGAAAACCCATCGTACAGATCCCTAAACCGGCTATCATACGCTGTGTAGGTACTGGTTTTTTTGTACATTTGACATTGTGTATGATCCGTGTTCAGTGTTCACACACCGTGTTCTGTTATTACATTTTATTTATTTATTACCATACTGTCGATATTTGAGTACCTACCTACATCATTATGGCTGATTCTGACGTCGTCGACATGCTCCATGCTTGGGGATTATCAAGCTACATTGATGTTTTCAAAGGTACGTTTTAATAATCTTATTTAATGCACCCCTATTAGTCTTTTACCAAACGCATTGTTTTTTTATGACCGAATATAAACTATGTAGGTAGTCATGTGACAGTGTGTCAGTGTTTGAATCGTAAAAAATTAGAGGACCTCAGTCCTCAATACAACGATTTAAAAATATTTAAGTTCTAAATTTAATATATTTTCATAGTAAAACCTACACCCTACATGTTGCAGTAAAAAAATAACAATATTCAATATACTAAATGAAAATATTAACAATTGTTTGTTATAATATTATAATAATTTATAGGTAGGTACCTAATATTTATTTCTTCAATATTTAAAACTGATTGTTAGGTACCTACCTACACCAGATTTTGTTAGTCATTTTTTTCCTAACATAAACCTACCAAACCTGGTATTGTAAATGATTGTAGATATAATATTAAACCTTGTTTTTCTAAGCTGAATGTACAATATTATTATATTATTTATACTAAATATATTTATAATTTAATTTATCTATACTGTTAGATCATGGAATAGATATATCTTGCTTTAGTATGCTCGACAATAATATGATTAAAGAAATAGTTCCAAAAATTGGCGATAGAGCAAAGTTAATATCAAATCTTAATGATTGGCGAAAAATATTGGATATGACAAATAACAAAGTACATTTTTTTGGTGAGTTAGTTTTTCTAGTTACTTTGTAAAATTTAGTAAATTATTACTTTTTTCAATTCATGGTTGGATTTGTTAAGTTTTTAGTTTTCTGTCATTGTCATATTATTATATTTATCAATTTATTTTGGTACTTACATTTTTTTTTTTTTTTTGCAACTTATTAAAAATTGATTCATCTATATTATTAGGATATTTCAAATGATTACCCTCAAGAACTAAGTATAAGTATTCCACCTCCATTAACTACTCCTGAACCCGAAGAAAATTTTTTAACTCCAAACACTGATACTGAATCTGTCGTTTTGGGTAGTGAAACATCAACACATTCTTCTATAGATAGTAAAACTGATGAGGTAGATATTTCTCTAATTAAACAATATCATTGTCTCTTAGACCTTAGTTGTATAATTGTTCTTAAAATAGGTACCTATGTAACAAAAATATAGTAACTTAAGTAACTTGAGGTTCAATCAATTCAAATTACAAAAAAAAAATAAGTTTTTTTACAAGTGTTTATATTTTATTACCTATATATTTAACATTGATTTACTTATTATTAATATTTTAATGCAATTATAATATTTTTAGGGTGTTCCACTATTGGATTATTTGAAAAAAAAATAGTGAAGGTCGTGCAATTTTGGCATCTAATAAAACAACCCTAGATAATGCTTCTAGAAGAAAGCTGTGTAATATAATTGTAAGAAGGGAACTACAAGAAGACCCAGAAAAGCATTTTAAAAGTCAACGTCTACTCAGTCTTTCGCAAGAAATTGTCAACATTTTTCCTGGAGAACATATTAGTACTTATTTTATTTCATACATAAACTATGGTAAACTATTTTCCATATGTTTAATTACTTATTAACTTAATTATTTTTAACTTGTATGTTTTATTCAACAGGCCCAACATTAAAAAAATCTGCAAAAGGGAAACTTTTAGACTGTTTCAACAACAGACGAAGGGAGTACAAGAAAGCAGGATTAATAGTCAACTCTTCTAAGCAGACACATCATACTCCGCCAAAATCAGCACTACTACCCAACCAGTTGTTCATACTGGTAACAATTTAAAATTTTTTATAGAAAGCAAAATACTCATTTTTAAATATTTTTTATAGATAGTGCAAATGTTGATGAATCTTTATCTTGGCTTCATAATTCTTCTGATCCTTGGGAACTTGTTATAAAACATTGGTCTATTACTAGAGCCAAACGCTTAAAAAAAAATTTTGGACACAAATTCTCAAGAGATATCTATTGCTGATTACATGAAGGAGTACCCAGCGTTACAAAAACCAGCAGGATATAATCTAGTAAGATTTAATAAACTATAACACAAGTTGCTGCGTGCTGTTTTGACTGTTGCAATAGTTTTTTTTTAAATTATCAATATTTAAAAAATGTTAATGTTGGTCATGAATAAAGTTATTATAAATGTCAAAATAGTATGTTCTTAATAAATATAATAATTGATATTTTGTAATATTCATATAAACATTTCTTATATTTTTTTAGTTGATCAATGATTTTGAATTCATATATCCAGACAAAATAAACAGCCTTTTTGAAACATTTCCTCTTTATAAAGTCAGAATACTAGAACTTGCAAAAACTGTATCTGAAAAATTAAGGGACAATACCATCAAAGGAATATTTAATGAATATCTTGATTCAGCATCAGGTACACAAAGCCGGTCTAAATTTGAAGTAGTTTATTATTATTAAATTATAAATTATTTTTCAGCAAGTAAAGAAGCATCAGCTATAGCCACATTTTGTATTTTGCCATTTCTTTTTACTCCAGCTTCTACCAAAAGAAAGAAAGGAACTAGTTCTTGGAAACCATCCAAAATTGAGATGAAAGATGGCTTTATAACCCATATAAAATCATATAGTGAACTTCAAGAAACAGTATCAAGAAGAAAAAACAAGTATGCTCAACTTGGTTGCACCTTACAGCCTTTTATCATAATTATAGGCCCAAGCATAAATGATATTTCTCAAATTTATGTCTATGTTGATAACACTTATTATGTACTTAACTCAATTGTTGCAGCAATTGATTGTTGTTTCAAGGTAATTCATTCATTAAATTTAGAATATCCTTTGGAATGTCTACAAGTTTGGACATTTATTCAAAAAGTTTTTTTTTAAATTAAAATTGCTTGGGACACTGAGTTTGTATCAGTTAACTCACTTATAAGTGATATAGGAATTACTAATGTCTTATAAATTATAATTTGTTTTCATTATTCCAAACGTGTTCATAAAAATCATGTATAATAATGTTTTTTTTTATTTTTAAATTAAAAAAATTAAATCAATAATTTTATAACATTTAATAACTAATACCATGAAAATATAAAATTTTAATTTTAACACTTTAAATATACTACCTAGGTTCTTAAAACTTTTATTATGCCTTGTTGTTTTATTTGTAAAGAAACTTTATCTGATATAGGGTTATTGTGTAAACATTTTAAGTATAAGCACGCTAAGCATGATTTTATTAAATATATATGTATTGAAAATCATTGTAACAGGACATTTTATTTGATAAATTCATTTAAAAAACATCTTGCTGCAATTCATAACTCACAAACATCTGAACTTACAAATAACCCTGTAACAGTTAGTTTTCATTTAAATGAATTAGAATCATTTAATAGTTCAAGAAGTTTTGTCAATACACCTACTACTAACACTGATAGGCCACCTATAGAGCCTTTGTTGGTTGATGATTTTAATAATCATAATTTGCAAGGTAACCAAATTGAACAATTTTTAGCTTCTTTATATGCCAATTCTCAAATCCCCCGTAATGTTGTACAAACAATTACTAAAGGTGTATGAAGGAGCGGTTTATTTGACTGTTCCTTGCATACCCATTTACCGTCAATCTTCCTTGAGCAATATTTTTTTAGCTTTATTATTTCATTCATCTGACAGACAGCAATTTGGAAACCATATAGTATTTAGGCCCCTTATCAATGAGTTGAATTTTTTAAAAGAAACTGGCATTGAGATTGAATCTGATGGATTTAAAGGAAATATTAAATTTGAATTAGGTCTAATAGTAGGGGATAATCTTGGTATTCATAGCATCACCGGATTTGTAGAAACTTTTTCTTCCAATTACCCATGCAGGGTATGTAAAATAAAGAAAGAAGATATGAGAAAACAATGCTACTCCGATATTAGTTTAATTAGAAGTTTAGAGCAATATAACCAAGATGTCTTAGAGTGTGATGTAACAACTAGTGGCATTAAAGATGTTTGTGTTTGGAATGATGTATGTGGTTTCAATGTGTTAGATCAAAGTGGGATGGACATTATGCATGATTTATTGGAAGGGGTATGTAAGTTTGATATGGCATTTTTATTAAATTACTATCCCTTTCAGCTCTAACCCTCACATTTGTGTAGGTTAATAACTATAAACTAATTGCCTGATAAATATTTATTTTGAGATCTATTTAAAGACTAACCATCACATTTGTGTGGGTTATTCAGTATAGCCCCAAAGACCTGAGACATGTAAAGTGTTTCAAATTTTGTGTTATTTTGAACATACACTTTAATTATCATATAAAGCTTCAAAAAATTATTAAAAAAACAATTAGATTTTTATTCAGTTAGATGTATTACCCGCACATTTGTGTAGGTCAGATTTGAAATACTCATATTACATGAAACACAAATAAATTGTTTAATCTTTAATTTAAAATAAATCTAAATTATCGTTCATAATACTTTTATACAAATTCTAAGTTAGTTATTATACTTTAAAAACAAATTATTACTATAGGTACTTTCTTTATAATAATAATTTTTAAAAAAATGTTGTTTTTATGTTTTATGAAAAATTGTAAAACAATTTTTTTTAGCAGTTAGACATAAATAAATATCACACTTGGTGCATTTGATTCTTGATCGGCTTTTACATCCCTTCATCCTACAGCACTTTGGATTTGGTATGTTACACACTTCTGGCCAATGCTCGAATCCATCCTTCACTTTGGTTGTTGGTGGGACTGGTGCCCTATAATTTTGAGGTCTCTGTGTTGTCATCTGATTTTCCTCGGTGTCAGACGAATTTAATTCTTCAAATGATAGTGCACGTTTATTTGGAGATTTAGTTAACCATTCTCTAGCAACAGCGATTTTAAAATTCATAAGGTCCATAATTTCATTTTTACGTTTTAGTAACTTTTGCACGTCTTCTCTATATTCCATCCAGGCGTTTACGATGCTTAGGTCAATGAAATGTAGTGCAACTTTTAATGTCCATTTTCTCGATTTGATCCACGTACGGTAGCATTCCATTTGTTGGTTACATATATCTACGCCACCCATGTACTGGTTATATGACTTAACAACATCTGGACAGGGTACTTCGATTTCCTTATTTTCCGTTTTACTCCATCTTTTTACTACACTATGAGGTTCTGCTCCTGTAGCATTAGAAATTAAAGTCACACATTTACTATCTTTCCACTTGGTCGCAGATATTTGATTGTCACACCTTGTGAACTCCTCCCAAACACCTCTTTGGAATTTTTTGTCTTGACTAAAATGCACATTGCTTAATCTATTTGACATTATTGTGCCTGTAGCCATTAGTCCCTCACTAAACAACCGATCCAATAATGGTACTGTTGTAAAGTACCGGTCGAAAAATAGAACTGATCCCTGCGGAATACTTTGAGACAAATGAAGTACGACTGCCGGTCCAAGCCCCAACGATTTGTCTCGGAATGGCGTATCGACACCTTGATAAATTTCAAAATCAATTACTTTCCCTGTTGACGTAGTAATTACGAAATTTTTTAAGCCAGTGGGTCGTGGTTTGTTTTTAACATATTGTCTGCTTGGACATCGACCAGTAAACGGAATCATTTGCTCATCCACCGAGTAACAGTCAACTAAACGAGGAATATTTCTACACGCATTACGAACTTGATCAATTATAGGTTGAACTTTCCAAAATCGGTTATTACCAGTCGGACGATTATTAATATCGACATAGTGCAAACAAGAGCGCAATTTCAAAAATCTGTCCCTCGTAATAGCTTGTGAAATAGGAACAAAACCCATGCCTCTACTATCCCAATACATTTTTAATCGGGGGTACTTAAACACACTCATCATAGCATGGACACCGTACACAATTTGTATTTCATTTGCGGTAGTTTTTAGTTCTTTTCCCGTTTTGCTCATTACATACATATTTGTATACAATGCTGCTTCCTCAAAATGTTTATCAGGAAGATATATTTTGACATATTCAAGTGGAGTTCTGATGTTAATCGGTAAATAAGGCCCAAAATTATTACCTGGTAACGGTTTTCCAATAAATGATTTTTGAGTCCAACCAGTATTCAGAATAGTCGCATTTGATAATGGATTCTGGTCTATTTGTTGTTGTAAGGGCGATGATGGTGAAAATGTTTGATTTTCGTCTGAAGTAGAGACATCAGGTACATTTTCGGTTACAATATCTTCTTCGCCCGAATCCGAAAAATCAGATGCACCAATAATTTGAACATTCTGGGGATGCCAAGTACGGTCAGCATCTGAGTCGTCACTTCCAAAATCTAAATCTGAATCATCGCTTAATGTGGCCAACATTTCAATAGCTTTCGCGTTCAACTTTGCGCGACGCATTCTCAAATAAAAACAGAAACCGTAGACGAAATAACGTATGATAATCAAAATGTATGACACAGAATCCGAACACGCACAAATGTGTGGGTAAATTAAAAATGATATAACCGCACACAAGTCGGACGAAAACTGATTAAATTATGTGACTGATCAAAGCATTATAACATTTTAAGAATATCATGTATAATACGTAGAATAATATAATAAACCAAGTGACTAATTATAGACTATAAATGTACCATATTGAATGCATATCTGAACAAAGAAAAAAAACCCATGATATTATTAATATAAATTGATAAAAATAATTTTTAGTCAAACACAATAACACGGACAATCGGATGGGCTAGGTCTAAACACTGTAACTCATTCCATAAATTAGGTACAAAATATTTCACCCAACCATCACGTATGTGTGGGATAGGTCATAATAGTACTTCAAATAAAATAAGCCTCGGGTCATAAGTGGTACGCGTAGTAACACGCACAAAAGTGTGGGATAGGTCCATAGTATTAAAAAGCTAATAAATATCTTCGGGCTAAAAGGGTTATATATATGATTTAAAAATGTTTTCATTACAAATTCTTAATGAGAGAATGATTAACTTTGATTATGGGCCAGATAGTAGCAGTAAGCCTCCTGTATTAATCATGGAGAATATTCGTAAAAATAATATTCGTCTCTCTGCATCTGAAATGTTGGTTGTAGTTCGGTACTTTGGCTTATTCATTGGAGATTTTGTTCCCAAAACTGATCCAGTATGGCACTTGTATATACTTTTAAGACAAATTCTTGATTTAGTAACATCTATGTCATTGCAGATAGATTCGTGTGAACTCTTACAAACATTAGTAGCTGAACACCATGACCTTTATCTTAGGTATAGTAAACAGAATCTCAAGCCGAAACATCATTTCATGTTACACTACCATACTATGTTAAAAAAATTTGGCCCCCTTGTAGCATTATAGTCAATGAGATTTGAGGCAAAACATAGGATATCCAAAATAGCTGCAAATACTACTAGCAATAGACGAAATATATGTAAAACTTTGGCAATCAAACATCAGTTGCAATTAAACAATTTATTTTTCAAAGGTTCATTACCTAATAATTTTGAAACAGGACCACCCAAGCCCCTGAGTGACTTGGAATTGGAAGTTTTAAAACAATTTTTGCAATTTAATTCTGTAGAATCTATTGTTAAGTGTCCTTGGGTACTTATAAAAGGTACCAAATATAAACCAAAGCTAGTACTCACATTAGATACATATGAAAATGATTTTCCTATATTTGGAATAATAGAAGACATATTTTTATTTAATGATACTTTGGTAATATTTAAGTGTAAGCGCACAACTACTGTTATATTTAATGATCATGTATTTTCATATGAGGTAAAAATAGATGATGAATGTACATTTGTGTATCACCATGCAATGCTTTCTTATATTCCAAATAACATCAGTGTATTACCAAATGGAAGTAGATATATAACACTAAGAAGCAGTATTTAGATTGTTATATTGTATTTATGTTATTTATTACCTATGTCTTTATAAAACTGTATAAATTGTATAATATTA